AGGAAGGTTGGGCAATCCTACTTCCGTAGTGATACTGCCTCGGAAACCCAAGGAGGGGTCCCTATGAGTCAGGGCTGACTCGACGGCACATAACAACAACAACAACAACGTATAATAATTGTCCTTTTGTGACGAATGGATACATAGATAGATGCACTAGCTGAATTGGTGAGGGAAGGAGAACGGGACTAAGCTCATGAATATGTGTAGTTTTGACAGAGGATATTCCTACATATGTATTTACATATGTTGCAAATATATCCATGAATATAGTTGAGCCAAAAACCAAACCAAACCTACTGCCATTGAGTCAATTCTGACCCCATTGGGTTTCCAAAGTGGTAAATCTTTACAGATAGATTGCCTCATCTTCCTTCCACAGAGCAGCTTGTAGGTTTGAACCGCCAACCTTCTGGCTAGCAATCAGGCACTGTACCACCAGAGCTCCTTATATAGTAGAGCATACAGGGACAAAATTATGAAAACTTCTAAGCCCCACCCAAATACCTTGAGGGAATAAGTCACTGAACCTGGGGGCTAAGGACCATAGCCTCAGGGGATATCAAGGTCAGTTGACACAATGTACTCCACAAAGAAAATGTTCCACACCCTACTTTGGTGAGTAGCAACTGGTGTCTTAAAAGTTTGTGAGCTTCCATCTAAGTGCAACTACAGATTTCTCCCCATGTGGAGCAAAGAAGAGTGAAGGAAACAAAGACACATGGAAGCAATTATTCCAAAGAACTAATGGACCATGTGAAACCCAGCCTCCGTGACTCTAAGAGCAGAAGAACTAGATGGTACCCAGCTACTACTGCTGACCACTCTGAAAGGAATCTGATAAGAGGTCCTAGATAAAGTGGGGGGAAATGTGGAACAAACTCAATTTTCAGCCAAACAATAGACAAGTAGACAAGGTGAACAGTAACACTAGAGAGGTATACACTTCTTAGAACAATCAACCTTGCAAGATCAAAAGGGCAGCATTTGCCCAAGGACAATGTTCAGAGGCAGAAAGGGTTAGGAAAGAAGGAGGAAACAAGATATGCATGGAGGAAGTGGCAGGAGTCATGTTATCTGGAGGGCATTGCAATCAATAACATGAAACAAACTGTGTATGGATTTTTGAATGGGAAACTATTTTGCTCTGTAAACTTTTACTCAAATCACAATAAAATGTTTAAAACATGACAATTGAGAATTTGAACACTAACTGAATATTTAATGATATAATAGAATTAATGTTCATTTTTAGTGAGATAGTGGCATTTAGTTATGTTAATAAAGAGTCAATCTTTTAGAGATACACACTTAATAAATAAATGAACATCTGCTGAATGAAATTGGGTGGTTAATCTTTTTACAGGCACTACAGGTTATGAAAATAGTCTTACTAGTGTGTCCACAGTATATGATAAAGAGAGTGCTGAGAGAAAGAGGGAAAGCTCACAGATCTATTTGGGGAGAACCCTAGAATATTTTCCAAAAGTTGACATTATATTGAAAAGCCTTCTGAGCTCTGTTGTGTTCATCCTAAAATATTTTGTCTTTGGTTAGTTTTGTTCATGTCTGCATAACTGAAGCCTGTGTGTATGTGATTGTGTGTGTGTGTATTTTCTGTGTTCATCCTTCAGTGATCTCATTTTACTCCTGCTGGCTCATCATTTTGACATTCCAGGAAAACCAGTTGCTATCAAGTCAATTCTGACACATGGAGACAGTTTCCGATGGCTGATTTTCCAGAAGTAGCTCCCTGGAGCTATGTTCCAAGGCACCTCTGGGTGGACTCCAATCTCTAGTCTTTTGTTTAGCTGCCTAGCGTGTTAACTGTTTACAATACCGGCATCCATTTAGACGTTAAATATGTGAAAGGCCTATAAGAACTTTGCACTTTTTTATTTTGAGACTGTTTTTACCCTGATAAACATGTACTGTCAGAGTTTGTGTTTTTTTGTTTTGTTTTGTTTTTTTAATTGTGATTTGGGTGAAAGTTTACAGAGCAAATTCATTTTCCATGCAGCAGCTCACATACACTTTGTCTCAGACATTGACTGCAATTTCCCACAATGCAACAGCACCCTTCCCCCTTCCTCCTCATAGTCACCTCTTCCCTGGTCCTTCCCTCCCATGGACTCCTGCCCCCAAGCTGTCTCCCTGTACATATACAGTGCTTCTATTCTCCTACAATTGATCTCTCCAAGGAATGTATCTGCCTAATGTAAATGTTCAGCTCATGTGCCTGTTTTTTGTTTGAGATCTTTGCATTTTTTTATAGACAGGTACCCATCTATTAGAAATGTTAGCCAGTGCCAAGTCACCATTTATCCATAGTTATTGTGATTACATTAATTATCATATATCACTAGTGAGACAGAGTATTTTCTTAAGTTTGTGATTGTTGGTAAGGTGTAAATCTCACAGATAACGTTTAGGCAGTTTCAGGTCTGCTTCATTCACCTGCAATCATCATCATTTCCTATTTTGAATCATGTTTTCCTCTCAAGCTGCTCTCTTTGGGAGACACTTCAATGTCAACCTGACACTCAGTGCACAAATTTGAGAAAATTAGTTCTTACCCAGAAACAGTTTTAGACTCATTGTCATGTTACTTTTTTTAACCTCTACTTCTAACAAATCTCTACATACTATTCAGAAGTCAAACCTCACAATGAATTAGTATGTACAAAGTATTGTTCTTTATTTCCCTGAGATAAAGTTGTGCTAGAAAACTCTATTAATTTTCTTTCTTTTGACTGGAATAGTATGGTTGTAAAATTGATTCTGTGGTTTTTAAATGAGAAAATTGATTACTGAAGAATGAAAAATTTTATCAGTATAACACAGTGAATAATTTTTATTAAAATCCTCCCCCCCCAAAAAAAAAAAAAAAAAAACACCTCACTGCTGTCAAGTCAGATCCAACTCATAGCAACCCCTCCTTGGGTTTCTGAGACAGTATCACTATGAAAGTAGATTGCCCAATCTTCCTTCCAAGGAGTGGCTGGTAATACAAATTAATAAAAATGGTTGGCCAAACTCTGTTTTCCAGAGGGTTGCTATGTGTTGGAATCGACTCAGTGGGTTTTGCACACAGTGATAAGGAACAAGTGTCAGACACAAGGTTTAACGGTATATACCAGTGAGGGGGCACAGGAGAGAAGGAGAGGTTACTGCACAACTGCTGTGGAACCTTTGGGGAAATGAACTGGTGAAGAGGAGTTTTAGGGTATTCTGGTTCAACTCACACTCCACCTCTTCAAGAAAACATCCAGCAAAGATCTGTGTTCTCAGCAGTTTTCTGAAACTGCATTTGTATCGTATTCAGTTCCTCAGTGAGCAGCCCAGCTATATTAGGATTACATTGGTGGTGGTGGTAGTTGCTGCTGAGTCAGTTCTGACTCATGGTGACCCCATGTGTGCAGAGTAACATACAGTTTTCCAGGCTGAGACCTTTCAGAAGCAGATCACCACCAGGCCTGTCTTCCAAGGTGCCTCTGGGTGGGTTTGAACCACTAACTTTTAAAATAATACTTGAGTGCTTAACCATTTGTGCCACCCAGGGACTCCTTAGAAAAGGTCTTTTAAAGCTTGGCTTTTAGGAGGGACAGGAAAAATACCAAAAGGGGCTCTTGATGGTAGAAAAGTTGAAAGCCATGGTACCTAAAAATTCTATCACATAACAATCTCCTGGAGGCTGAGCAAAGATCTAAGACATGGAGAGGAGAGGAAAATCAGTGAGTAATTAGGGGAGGAAAAGTAATTATGCACAGTTGAGAATTGTTAGTTTTGCTTGAGTTAGACACAAGGTTGTATTTTGAGGAAGTTTTCTTTAAACCACATTTGTACATAAAACTACTTTTTTTTTTTTTT